TTATTCAGATCATTTTTTTCGTATGCTCCCCAGACTTCTGAGTTATATAGTAGAATGGGGGAAATTATTGAGTCGAAAATTTTTGTTGCTGTTTTTGGCGAGAATTTATGAAAATCTAGATTTTTACGAATTTTATAAAGAGCATGCAAAGCTTTTTCGCTTAGTTGTTGTTGTGCTAGTTTAAATTTCCCATTTGGTACTAGTTTGAGACCAAGATAGGTATACTCTTTTGACTTATCTATCTTTTTGTCTCCAATGTGGAAATGAAGGTTTGGTAATTTCGAGTTGTGTTTTTGAAAAATCATAATTTTTGTTTTCTTGATATTGACTTCCATTAGCCATTTACTACACCATTCATTTATTTGGTTTAGACAATTTTGTAAACCTGATTTTGATCCTGAAAGTGTAATGAGATCATCCGCATAAAGTAGGCTGTTGATAGTAGTTCCATTTGGTAATAGAAATGGATCTGATTGTGTTTGTTGAAACATTTTTGGGAGATCGTTTATGTAAATATTAAATAATAAAGGGCTTAGAATGCGTCCTTGACGGACTCCCGTTTTGTAAGGAAAAAACGGTGTTCTGTTTTCAGACAGTTTTATTGCACATTTCGTGTTTGAGTAGAGGTCTTGAATTAAATCGTAGAAGTGTCCACCTATGTTGTTTTTGATAAGTTGGTAAAATAAGCCTTGTTGCCAAACAGAATCAAAAGCTTTTCTAAAGTCAACAAAACATGCATAGATTTTTTCATTTCCACTCTGTTTGACATATTTATCATGCAGAGTTTTCAGCGTAAGAATATTGTCAGCCGTTCTATTTCCAGGCATGAATCCAATTTGAGTTGGGTGAACTAATTGCTTTTCGTTTGCGAAATTTCATCAATCTATTATTCAGAATTGAGCAAAATAACTTGCCCATGCAGCTTGAGACACAAATACCTCGGTAGTTGTTTGGATCGAGGGAGTCCCCTGATTTATGGATCGGGGTTATTAAGCCTTCGGTCCATGATTCAGAAAACTTCCCCGATGTTAAGATGTTGTTAAAAATTTTTAGAAAAGCTTTAGAGAGAATTCCAACACTAGATTTAATCATTTCGTATCTGATTTTGTCGTTATAGACAGCTTTTTTGGATTTTAACTTTTTGGCTGCTTTTAGTAGTTCATCTTCTGTGATGATGTAATCAAGTTCGGTTAAGTTGTCTTTCATTTTTTCATAGTTTTTCAGGCATTCAACGATTTCTTAACGTTCCTTGTTTAATTGATGTTCTGAATGAAGTGTTTCAAAATGATTCAGCCATTCACTTGGTTGTGGGCTTTTCTTAGTTTCATTAAAACTCAAGATCGTCACTGATATTTCTTAATGTTTTCCAAAATAGCAGTGGATCGTTGCTAGCATTTTCAATTTCTTGGATTTTATCGAAATTGTAAATTTTTCTTTTTAATTTCTAAAGTGCTTTTATAGTCTTTCAAAGCAGTATGGTATGCACTTCTGATTTCAGTGTTGTTTGGATCTCTATGTTTTTGATTTGCAAGTTTTCTAAGCTGGTGTCTTTTAAATCTACAATCTTTATCAAACCATTTTTTGTTTGCTACATTATTAATTTTTCGTCTATATTTCTTCTTTTTTATTTTAAGAGATTTTTTGGATACAAGGGTTAATAATGTTTTCAAATTCATTGACACATTTGTTTATGCCCTCTCTGTCAGAAGAGAAATCATTTTCAAGGAATGTGCTTAGTTTCTCTTGTAGTTCATCTGATTTTAACGCTTTTTTAAAATTCTCATTTGATTCATTGTTCCAAATATATTGTAGTGGTAATTTTGATATTGGGAGTTGTAAGGGAGTATTATTAATAGTGTCAGTGGTTTGGTGTAAGTTAATCCAGGTTATAACTTGACTATGGTCAGATAGATAGTTAGGGGATTTGACAACTAGATGTTTAACTTTCGGCATTAAGTTTTGGTTACAAATGATATAATCAACTGCGCTGGTTCCATTTTTACTATGAAAACTTGGTCTTTCCAAGGAGTCACCATTGGTCCGACCATTAAGAATTCTCATGTCAGTAATTTTGCAAATTTCAATTATTTTTTACCATGATTATTGGTTGTTGAGTCAAGGTTTTGTCTTTGTGGTAGTTGAAACGAGTTACCACTAGTGTCTTGAATGTGATTACTTTCATCACTTCAAATATAATCTTCGAGTTTGCTTGTTCTAGCATTTAGATCACCAAGAAGAAGTATATTTGCTTTGGATGAGAAAAGGACTAGATCATTTTCAAGTTCTTCAAAAATTTCGTTTTCAAAGTACTTTGATTTTTCCGGTGGGATGTATGTACCACACATGTATAGATCCCGATCAGAGTTTAAGATTTCTTTGGAGATTTTGCGTTCAAGTGCTTCTTGTCGTATAGGTCAGCACTAGAGCAAAATATAAATTGCACAGACATTGAAATGCTAGTAGGCAGCAGAATTATGCAAATTATAGTGTTTGCAGGTTTTTTTATACACCCTGTAATTTTCGAAGTAACGTGGCTTTAATTTGACGTCCTTGGAGTGCAAGTTTTGTTCTATGACCTGTTGCATTTTGCGCTTGACTCATGATGGAGACAATATATTAAGGATTAAATAAGTATTTTATTGACGGCACAAAACGTTCAAACTACATTCGCCATGACATGTGTGCAGATCAGTAAACTAAAACAATTACATTAATTATCCCTAATTGTACATCGGTCTACAACGATAACCCTATATGT